CATGTTTGCTTCATCAATGATTAAAATGGGTGGAGGTATGTTATAGCCATTCCAGAAGTTCCATTTTGGAAGGGCACATGCAATATTATCAATCAACTTTATGACATCATTAGAAGTAATTTTTTTTTCATTAAACAGATCCCCACCAAATGGCTTAACTTTTAACTGTAAATCATCTATCACAGCACTGATTTCCCCTCGTTGAAACATTTCTGTCAAGAACTTCGTATGTCTCTTGAAAAATGGTTGGAATTGCGAAGAAATTGAATCATAAATTGTCTTTGGTGTGTTAAATTGTCCTCGACGGCAGTCAATAAAAAGAGGGTTGAAATCGCCTTTACTCGTTACCTCGTGGACCAATTTGGTTTTCCCACTACTAGGAGGACCTAGAACAACATGAAGTCGTGGATTGGAACTAAATGCATTTTTAAATTTAAGAAGTTCTCGTTTCCGATTGAAAAAGCTCATTTCACCTTGTGTTGTATAACGAGCAACACAACCATTACTCAGCATATTTGAGATATAACTACCATCAATAGGCAAGCGTTTGAAGGATTTGAAAACAAACATAACAGAAAAGATTTATACACATAACCTGTGCAACAATTGATTTTTATCAAAAAATTATGATTTAAAAATGACGCCAGCTTATTCAGCATAGTGGAAATTTGAAATGTCACACTAATTTTTTATATTGTGCAACATAGCTTTACAATACACGGCAAACATTCTGGCAATAAAAAGTAAATGATAAACTGGATTTGAATTGGATCTGAACTTGATCTCCAATTTAGAGAGGTAACAACTATATAGTGGTAAAGTTTCAGGAGCAATGAGTTCTGTATGACATTTCGTGTAACAACAAACTTCCACTATGCTAGCTTATTCCATTCACTAAATACTAAATCTGAGAACCTGCGTAGAATGAAAAATAAGACAAATTTAGACGAGGTGGAGATCTCGACTCCCATAACTTATGAATTTTGATATGAGCCAGACTCTACGTAGTATTATTACTGGTAAAGAACAATAAACTCTCCTTCTTCATGACTTTTTGAGTCTTATTCGTAGTTGTTATTATCGGAGAAACCATATACAACAAAAAAAAAGGCTTTATTATTAATATTATATATGTAACTAGTTATTTTTTTTATTATATAAACAAATGAACACAGATCATTCTATCCTCAGAGTTACGAGGTAATGATTCTCAAGATAGACAAGAATTTAAATAGGAAAAATAATAAGTAAAAGTTACACATCAACTTTTTGTTTTTATAATATATTAATAAATTGATTATCAATACATGAACACAAACTAATGAGATATTTGATCATCAATTTATTTTTAAATGATGTAATTTTACTCTTAAAAATTCAGTGACTAGTTGATTATATTTAATCAGAAAAAAACCTTTCATTGACCGATATGAAAAACAAAAAACAATTCAGAGAGACAACTGGAAGACATTGTTTTAAAAAAAAGGGATCGGAAGGCAAAATATAATAGAGGCATATGTATTGATGAACATGAGCGATCTGATGTAATAAGATAGTAAAAAATACTTTTTGGAAGAAATTGATAACTATGTTTGAAGAAAATGATACAAATGAAGTCAGGTTACTATCTTTAAGCCTGGGAAAAATCTACATTTTGGTTACTTTATATTTCGCGGTTAAAACAATTTTGGGTGAAAATGAACAACCATTAAGACCAGGTCAAGGACAATGTTTTCATGTAAGCGAATTCTTACGTGAAAACAATAGTCAATTCCTGAACGTGATTGGACCTAGTATAAGTAAAGATATATATCGGAGGAATGTTGATTTAGCTATAAAAGACTCTAGATCCACCAAGTTATTCACTCTCACTAGAACAAAATATTTGGTTGGAGAAGGAGGTTTTGAGGCGAAGGCAATAATAAGTTTTGGTCGAGACTATCCTTTTTATGTGAAGGGTCACCAATTTTTCTGATCCTGGAAAGGTTTTAAGACTTTTGAATAGGCAGCTATCATCAAACTCAAAGTGGTTGCTGAGATTGGTGGAAAGTGGTTGATCTCTTTCTTTCACCCAAAATTTAGAAAAATTAGCTGACCATTTTCATATTATCATATTGCCTATTATAGAGGAGTAGTGTGTCATCTGTAAATAGTTCTATATTTTGTACAATCCACTTGTATAATGCGTCTTCTGCAAATGATAAAAGGGATAAAATACCATTATAATCACAACATTTCCAACATTTTGCTCAAAATTATATCGACTAGAACTATTGACCGAGTTTGGTCAATGCCAATCATCCTGCCTGTATTTTAAATCGATCACTTTTTTAACATAACATAATCTCAAGAAAAAACCTACAACCACAATAAAAAACCATAACACCAACAATACTCAATAGAAGATTTAATATTATTCCTTTTTTATAGAACTTAACAAGGTTTAGAGCATTATTATGACTGAGTGGTATGACAAAGCAAAAAGATGACAATCCCATAATTATTGCAGATGATTTTAATGCGACTTTAGCTCCCTTTTATGATCATACAAATAGACAAAAATCACTCACGAACCAAAGGGTCGAAGATAACAGACATTCAAGTTGCTTGACCTATTTGAGGATAATCTTCCCATAAGGAAAAAATATCAATATTTTCTCTTGTTAATAATCAGCATCCTTTGTGTTCAAAACTCGTTATTTCTCTTGCATGTTCTTAATATCATAAAACAAAATATGGGTTAAACCAAATATTATTTGTTACAAAGTGGAGGATTGGGAATGCAAAATCTCTATTTTAATTAGTTTTACCGGAGTTTTTATTAGTAAATGGAATGAAATAATTGAACAGTTATTACCAAATAGATGGAAAATAGCATTACATGTTTCTATTTAAATATGAAAATTTGGTATTTAGAAGAGATTATTAAATGTACTTTTTATTTTCAATTGATTCCGATTAAGAACAAACTCCAAACAGTAAGGCAATTAATCTTAATCTCATTCTTTTAATATCAAATTAATCAAGTTAGACCTCACCTAAACAAGAAGGAAACAATAGTAATGATTTCATTGCTCTTTATTTCGATTTTTGCTGAATATATACAATATTTTATATATTTATTATATAAATAAATAAATGCCAGAATAATTAATAATTTCTATTATGTTGTTGAACACCTTTATTATTATAATTATTACGTCGAGGGGGTCGACGTTCTTCAATATAAAGAGTGACATTATTCACCTCAATAGATTTTGCATTGAGGGCATACTGATATGCTTCTGATGAAGAATATTCTACAAATGCACAATTCTGTCCATCATTAATAAATTTAATTAGTAAACGTTGATTGATTATTATTATTATCAAAAAAGTTTTTTTTTAATTAATTATAAAGTTAGTACTTACTCTTGTAGGAACAACGTCAAGATGTTTAACATTACCAAATTTTGAAAATCTACCCTTCAATAAATCATAAGTCATACCAGGTTTAACACCTTTGACATAGATGGAAAATCCTGTTTCTAGTATTTATTCATTAAATTAATTAGTCAATAGGTTAATAAGTTAATTAAATAAGTGTGTATGCAATGACAAAAAAAACATTTTATTAGTAGCACATTTCATTTACCACTGACACGACGAACACCAATTCTTTGTCCATCTTGAGAACGATCATGACTATCATGATTATCACGTTTTTGTTGCTGTAATGAGTTTCTTTGATTTTTTGCTATAGGAGTAGTAACAGTTGTCACATGTCCTTTAGGGTCTAACAAAGCTTCATTATTCCATTTATCAGCATTATTTGCAGCTAAATTTGCCCATGTCTTTACTGGAGGAGTAGATTTATTTAATGATTGGGTGTTATTATTATTATTATTGCCATCGTTATTAGGTTTGGTGGTAACAATTGAGGCAAATTTTTTAACAGGTTCTTGAATAGTGTTTTCAACTTGTTCATTGTTGGTCTTTTGAGCTTTATCTACACCATTTGTTGTAATTTCATTTTCTAATGCAGATTCGGGTTCATTTATAGTGTCAGTAGTAGTTGATTGTTCGTCATCAACTTTGCTAATAGTTTGACTAATATCTTGGGGCAACAATTTTGGTGACTTATTAACGTTTACTAGAGGTAATTTAGTTTGTGTGGATTGACTATTGGCTGTTGATTGAATGGGAGTATTAGCAACAACATGATGGTTTTGAAGTGAAGTGGATTGTTGAATAGGAACAGGTTTATCATTTACAACTGATGGATATTGGTTTTTGTTGGATGGTGGTGATGGTGGTGGTGGTGGTGGTGATTTTGGCGGCGGCGGTGGCGATTTTGGCGGCGGTGGCGGTGATTTCGATGGTGGTGGTGGTGGTGGTGGTGGTGATTGTGGTGGTGTTGATGATTGTAGCTGTGTTGATGATTGTGGTGGTGTTGATGATTTTGGTGGTGTTGATGATTGTGGTGGTGTTGATGATGATGTGCTTTTTTGAACATTACTGGGTACAGGAGATGTTTGAGTTTTGACAATGGTTTGTGTATTAGTGATAATTTGAGCAGCTGAACCTCCTGCAGATGATTGATCATTTTCATGATGAGTGCAAGGCACAGATTCCAAGACGTTGGATTGATTAATTGATTCTGATTCATTGTTTATTTGTTTGACCAAAGTTCCATTATGAGATGTTGAAGAAGAATCGTTTTTGATGGCATTTTGTAAATCCGGGCTTTTAACTTCCGTACAAATATCATTGTCATGATCATGAACATCATCACTTTCATCACCATCGTCATCATTATTATCATCATCATCAAGTAAGAATCTTATAATATCATTCAAAACAAAATAACCATTCGGTTGCGTGGCAAGAAAAAATGTTTGTGCAAATTTTCTAGATGGTTCGTCATGATTACTCATCATGCCCAATACTTGAATGATTATTCCATTATCTTTTGATGTTTGACAGTCCACACTTGTCACAGCAACTCTACATTTTTCAAAATTCAATGATTTGATTTTTTCTTTAATTTCCTTGTAAGTCAAAAAAAATAAAAAAAAAATTTTTTTAATATTTAATATCAATATATAAATATTGGTTACTGTTGGTTATAATTTATGCCCGAATGTATGGATTTTAACAATATTTTTTTTAAGCATATTAACATTAACTAACCTTATCACCAATCAAGGTTTTTACTATTTCACCTTCAACACCATGGTTAAAATGAGAATTTTTTCCATAAAAGCAATGAAGACGATTTGGTTGTTTATGTAAGAAAGTATAATACTCTTGTACGAATATCCATCCAATTTCATTAATGTCAGTAACAGGTGGAGAAGTGTTAGCTTTTTCGTTAGTAGGTTGTTGTTGTAGGTCCATTTGTGTTATAAATCAATATTATTTGTATTTGTGTCCAAAATATAAAATTCACATCACTGATCTTTACCAAAATAAAAATAATTTCACGATGTGATAATCCGACGCAGCAATCAATTGTAGTGTTAAAAATTTTTTTGAATGTCCTATTTATATGATTCAAATTTAATAAAATAGACTATTGTCTTGACCCAACTGATGTGATTTTTTTGCTCTTTACGACGAAGAAGACGCAATCAAATCCCAACTTAACTTTAATGTTAACGTGCTACGCGAGATCAAAGATTTAACATCACGGTATGCAAAAGCTCACGTTGCCTTTTTATACTAATAAGAGACAGCAACATGGAAAATTTCCCATTTATTTGTGTTAAGCAAGGAAACATCAACCACAACACATAATATCAATAATCATATTGTCTTTTAGTCTTTTACACTAATTAAAGATGTTCCCCAAAAGCCTGGTGCTTTGATTATTTTGTTTCTTGATCATCTTGTGTGATGTTAATATATACATAAAAACAGAATATTTGGCGATCACATATTATTAATCGTAATTTTACCTCAGAGACACATATATGGAGAGATTCGATCATAAAATTCAATATATTTATTAATTTGAAAAAGCTTTTAATTGACAGTTAGACTAAGAAACATATTCACATCTGTTCGTGCAAAATAAATTTCTGCGCATTATAATTCTACTCTCAGAATAAGATAAATACATAAATTTAATCATTTCACTCTTTTTTATGCCATTTACGAGCATGATTATCTTCGTAGTGTTTCATGAAAGTGTAATCATTTGAGAAAGTTGCACCGCATTTAGGACAGTTAATTGTTTCATCACTTTCTGATGATGATGATGATTCCGAGGATTCCTAATCATGAAATACATGAACTTATAACAAAAATAACAAAAATTAATAAATTATAACATAGAAAGTAATAAAACTTACCTGTGAAATTGCATCATCAATTTTCTCTACTTCAAGTGTGAATCCTGGCAAAACATTGCCACCATTTACATTATCCCAGCCATGTGAAGTTCGATAAACAACCCTATTAGCCCTCTGTCTGTAAATATATATCTGCTTATTTTGTGGGTCCACTAACCAACCAAGCTCAACTGATGAGCCCGTTGCAAAGTAAACTTCCCTGAATTTTTGATCTAAATCATTGAATTCTTGGTATCCTTCTTGAGTAACTGCGACTTCTACAACGCAGGTAGGCGTAAATGGCTGACCCTTGAAGGTCCATTGTTGTTGATGATTAAGCAAACAGTAAATATTCTTTGGGGTAAATGCAACATCAGGTGCACAAATTGCCCGTTGACCAGAAATGTTGAAATCAAATCCACCCTGAGATGTAGTGGTAATTCCATTTTCACGAGTCTGCACATTCCAATTGCAAAGTTGACTAGAAATTTCACAAACTACGGCTTCCTTACTTATCGGATTTTGGGGCATTGGAAGGATTTTTCCTTTATTGAACTCGAATAGATCCACAGGGGTCTCATTGATCTCCAAGGCATGTGTCTTTAATTGTTCATTAATGAATTCGAATTCTTCAAACGTGTAGGTACGGTTTAAGTCTAAGTTGTCAAGATCTATTTTGTGGCCGTTGGCTTTAAGCATGTTAATTTTAAAAGATTTTATATTACACAAGCACAATGATTGGCCATAATATACGTACCATCAAGTATTCCAAGGCCTTTCAGAATCCAGATAATACCCTCGAATTCGAAATCAATAGATAAACGCAGGCAATAAAAAAGAACTAAAAGAAGTTTAAGTTATTTGCATAATCTGAGAAATTAATTCAACCTAACAGATATTGCATACCACAACTTCAACAGTAATAATTACAATAAAAGATCGAACTTTAGTAATGGCAGCATTTTTTAGATATTATATATATATATAAATAATCGGGCCAATCATGTAAAATTACGCAATGATCATTGATGTAATAAAATTGATTAACTAGTTTATGTTAAAAAAAATCAAAAATAAATTAATAATTAAATGATAATTTAGCAAAAAAAGAATAATATTTGTGTCTGTTTGTTTCTTTAGTGCATAAACTGTAATAGTTAAAGAATTAAACACATTTATTTATTAAAAAATTATAATATAGTATATCTAACGGATACACTGTGAACCAACATACCGACATACAAGGATGTATTTTGCATGGTCACCATATTCTAAAGATGACAATTAGGTTATTATTAATATTTGTTATTATTATTTGTTACCATCATCATCATTATTATTACTACTAATTAGATTTTCGAGGAACACTTTTAACACACTATGGGCTTCTTCATAAATTAGTCCAGAGATACATTTCACACCTCCCTATATGCAAGTCTCCTGACATCCGGCTTAGTAATTCCTTGATATTGCCTTGAAGTGTCTTATGATGATGCTTCGTTCCTCCTCTTCCGACACCAATTTATATTATTATAATTGTTCTGTTATAAAAAATAAATAATTGACAAAACAGAAGAGTTTGTTAAATGTTTACATTATCATTTACAGTATCATTACTAAATAAATAATTATTGTTATTGGTATTGGTATTATCAGTATTATCAATTTCACCATAAATATCACTACGAGATAAATCATTTACATTGTTATTGTTATTGTTACTATCAATATTATCAATTCCATCATAAATGTCACTATAATTATCATTATTAACACTTGATGTTTCTCTTTTTCCGCATTATAGTATCTATTAAAAATATCATATATGTTTTTTAAAGAATGTTCTAGTGAATATATTGTCTCTTCTTCTGTTCCTACAATTTCATACATCTTTTCAGGAGTCAAATTGTGAATTGTTCCAAATTCCACCTTGTCATATCTTTTTCTATGGTTATTTCATTCCCAAAAAAAAAATAATAATCGTAAGTCCTTTTCCTCAGTCCAATTCCAAATAACTTACCATTTAATGTTATTTTGTTTTTAATTGATGATGCAACATCCAAAATGGTTGCAGTTGAATTATTATTCCAGTAGGGCATTTGACCAGATGGATGCAAGGTTAGGGGTAGAAGTAACTGGTTCTAAAAATATCAAGCAATTGCAGACCTTTCCCCGCTAAACAAGCCCTGCTTTTTAAGAGCGTTAACCAAAGAGAAAAAGAATTGAGCTTATTTCCACTCTTGGATTATATACATATGACATATTTTCACCTTTATCATAAACCAAGTAAATTGAGCTTCTTTTAAGATCAAGACTTGAAGTTTCCTAGAAGGCGATTCAATATTTTCTTTAAGAACGTGTTTACTGTTAATGTCATAAACCAAGGAATTCAAAATTAATTCTATCAAAAGATAGTTGATACAAATATGAAAATTTTGACTAGGGAATTTTGATGTAGAAAGAATATGTATATACGTGTTTTGCGTTTTATTTATTTGCATTTGTGCGTGTAACATTGAGTAGCCCTAAACTAGTTTAAAGGACATGCTGGAAAATTTGTTTTTAACATTTGGTATCATGCCTGACCAATGCAATTGCTTAGCTACTTGACAAACCCCTTTTCGATAATTGTCTAACCCGGGTAAGATATTCTGGTTAGATATTTCGATTTGAAAGCTTCAGTCAAGTTTTCCTTATTTGGCCCGTATTTTTATATCAAAGCTCGGTCACTCGTAACTCTCTGTAAAAGGTTTCCATAGTTTAATAATGGTCAATTATCGGTTAAAATTTTTGCAATTGAACGGAATTAGATAAATTGGCAAATATTGACTAGTAACACGTCTATGGATTTGATGACGTCAGCTCATTTAATAGTCAGGTTTGATCAGCTGACCCTATATTCTAAAAATTAAATATACTTATCAGATTACCCAGAATGTGTGGATTCTTATTGTATCCGAGATAGTGAGTACATAAAATAAATCATAACATTTGGAGAGAGAAAAAGTGAAAAATAAAAAAACTTTATTAAAATTATAAATTAAATAACACTTTCTACATATTTTTAATTCTAACGAAAGATAAAAAAACTTTTTTTTTAAAAAATTTCCTCTTGTTTAAAATAAGTTATTAAGATTATGATAATCTAATATATTTCTTTTTATTATAACTAAGAAGCAAATAGCTACTAAGTTAATTATTAGTAATGCTATCGCAACCTCTTTTGAGACTGTTTCTGCTGTTGCCGTCGCCGTTGTTAGAAGCTGAACAGCTATAAAAAGCAAATTGTTGTCTCAAATTATCACCATCTGTATTCTGGTGAAGTGTGTTGTTGCTGTAGATGATATTTATCGGAATGCTTGAGCGAAAATCATCATGATCAGAATAAGCTTTGCTAGGAATATTAGGTGCATCTGGTTGTTCGCCAGAAGGAACATCACATTAATTATTTTGATAATTCATTATATTTTTTTTATTGATTTATTAACAAACACGTGTATTAAGGCAATAACTGAAAAATAACTTATTTAATCAAAACAGGAAAGAGAAAAGATGAAAGTAGGAAGAAAATATTTAATTAGGAAAGAGAAAAGTCAAAATGGGGAAAAAATAATTTATTCAAAATGAAAAACGGGAAAAAATATTTTTAATCCACATATATATATATTGACTTTGTTTTTTTGGTTACAATTACAACTATATTACTAGAAATCAAATGGGAAATTTTAACATAAAAAAATAACATCTAAAATGAAATAAAGTTGGGTGATACCGTTTTCATTCAGTGTTAATGTGAAAATCACGATTATTTACATAATTACTGGGTAAATTTATTAAAACATCTCCCAATACTTGCTAATATTGCAATTGTTAAACTGTGCGATAGAATAATGCTTTTCTTTTTATAATACAATAATCGTTAAAACAACCAGATATGTTATATTTTAACAGAAAGTGTTGAATTTATAAGTAAATAACTTTTCTAAACTTATATATATATATACAGTATATACATATTAAATAGGGGATTTTTGTACGTGTTGTCGATCAAATAACTTTAAAAAAATATGCCCAAACAAAGGCAAAAAAGACAAATTTGGTACCATTAAAGGGTAAGTTTTATTATTAATTATTATTAAAAGGAAAGGTGGTGGTGATGTTTGCTAATTTTTATTATTTTAAAAATATCACAACTAACAAAAGAAGCAGAAAAACGATTATGATATGAAAAAAAAAATGATAATGAACTTGCTGAAATATTATTTAGGTAAGAAAAACAAACTGTAATGATGATAAAAGCTATTTAAATGTCAAGATATTTAATTATTTACTTCTTATTTAACACGACAGTTAAGAAGCTGATGATGATTTAGCTGTTTCTAATGACTACTATGCCGATATTTCTGATATTTTTAAGGTTTTCGAAATTCTTGAAGTCCAAACAATAACAGAAGATTTTATTGATGATTGAACTGAGTTTACATATAATAAGTCATTTAAATTTTTTTCTTTGTGTGCAAAGCTGCGCAAGTTAACAACATTTGCTATTGGATGATCACAACCTTACAGAATCAGAGTAAAGATGGCACCTCAATTAATTGCAACATATAAAAATTGAATTGCGGCTAATTGCGGTACCATCTTTAAATCAGAGGAAAGGTGCGCTATTTTGGAAAATTGGTGGATGCCAATTTTTTTGATATTGCCATACAATGTTAATCCATTGGCACTTACACTAACAACAAGTCATTCATACAAAGAAATATATCATCGACATCATGAAAATATTAATATTAGTTGTTCTGAAGTGTCTCCAGACATTTCATCTAGCTATTATTAAATTAAATCGATGTAATAACATGTAATTGGCAGAAAGTAATAGTAATAGTAATCAAATAACATTTTCCAAAATGATTAGCAAAAAAGACTTGGTCATGAATTATTAAAGAAAAATAAAGATTAATTAATTTGGTTTCAGAAATATTGTTTTTTTTTTCTATGTTTGTTTCCTGAATTTTGATTTTGTTGGTTAGTATTAATGTTTGTAGAAAAAATTGACATATTGCTGTTATCAGATAAAGGATTTCTATTGAAATCACTGATAAATACGTCTATTAATCAAGCCAAATCATTATCAAAATCTATATAGTTGAATCTAAATCTTTAATTTCATTATTAGCATAAATAGTAATTTCTTTCTCCATATTTTCTTGTATTTCAACTTCTGATAATAATTAGTCATTAAATGAAGAAGCTAAGTCATCAATAAGGTTGTTAAAACCTATTTTAGCCTGTTTCCGAAAGGTATAACTGCCAAAATGGCAAAACTGTCAAAACTGCTGAAGCTCCAAGATCTTTTTTTTTTGCAAGTATTTGATAATAAATAACCAAAAAATAATTTTGTTTCTCAAAATTTTATATTATAAAATTTAATGGTTTGTAGTTTAGGTTTTCATAAAAATAAGCAACTAAAAATTTATGTTCTTGTCATTTGTGAAAGTTTTGTTATTAAAAATAAGCTGATACCAATAAAATTAATTAAATTTTCACGATTTTTAAAAATGGCAGCGAGGAAAATTTTTAGGTCTAAGAATAGGTGGTAACCAAGGAAAAAGGTTTCAAATCGGTGATATAATACAAACTGCATTAGAATATGGCTGTAAATATGTGTGTATCATTAATACCAATATTAACAACCAAAATTGCTTGAAATTTGTTATATTTCTCGTTTGCTTTTTTTCCAGCTCACATTAATTCAATCGACCAAAGTTTCTTTTGTTAATAACAATGACAATAATAATAATAACGACAATGGTAACAATGGCAACAACAGCAATGATAACAATGACAATGTTAACAATGTTAGTAATAATGGTGGTGATTGTGTTAATGATAACAATGATGGCGGTACATTAACAAAATTCACAAAAGGATAATAAACTGGGATGTGAGAGCATTGGTTTAATGAAAAAGACCTAGTACGGAATCACCAAAACAAAAAATCTTGAAACAAATATTTTTATGTATTTATTTATATAAACAGTTTGTTTATTAGATTCCAATACATCAAGGATAACCTAAAAAGGTCTACAATTTCAACAGTCGGCAAATTAGTACCGCATGAGAATGATTTTTTTGCAATTGAGGCCCTGGGATTAGACTTTACATCCAGTTATAGAATCGTTGTTGTCGTCGTCATCACCATCATCAAACAATAATAAAAAAGGAAAAACGTTGACAAGAATCGAGCAACACTAAATAATTTGAGGACGCATTCGTTGAATCAAGCGGTTCTTCTAAAAAAAAATAAAAATAAAAGATCCTTGGCGTCACCAGGAAATGAAAAAAGGTTGTTAAGAGAGGAAAAGTCTTTTGAAAATTTTGTTGAAGAAATTGTCGGAAATGAACAAGAACAAAGGCGATAAAGTGGGACTTAGCAAGAGATGAGCGGAAAATATATTTTTATTTATGTATACCGTAACGTTGTTGTGCGCATGTTATAATAAATAACGAATGATGAAAATATTTATTAGTTAATAAAATTTATGTGATGGCTTTTTCTCTATTTCTTCTGATCGTGTTATCTAGCGTTAAATAATAAGGAAGAATGACCAGACTAGCATCAAGATGTTATCCTATTTATTATTTGTAACATTGGTTATACACATGTGTTATAATAACAACTAATGAAAATACATTTCTAATTAATTAATAAAGTTTATGTGATGGAATTTTTCATTGTTTCCTTTGATCGTGTTCCCGTTCATGTGGATTTATTTTCCCCAGTTCGATTACTAAAATCCAAAATTTACGAGAATTTGAAATTCACATATGTGAGTTTCATATATATATAATTGAAAATTTCTTAGCAAACACGTAGTGTATGTACACGTGTCATAATAAAATTTGCATCAATAAAAAAAATTAACTTTTTTTTATAACTTTTTTTCTTGTTATGAAAATATAAGCATTGGGGGGGGGGGGAGTGAGTTGCCCTTTTAAACATGCAATAATATCTACATATAAACAATATTATCAGTGTCATATCATGGTAAATTTTTCTTATTAGAATATGTTTATTCATTGATGCATGTGCAACGCAACACCGTGTTTACACACATAGTGTACAAATAGAAACTGCCTATATAATTTCATATATAAAACATTGACTTTTCTACGAAAATGTGTCAAAATCCTAATTTGGTAATAGTAATAATTGTCTTCAGTGTATAAATTTCAGTGTGTAACTAATGCAGATTTCTATAGTCAGTTACGCGATCAGCCATATTCATGAATGTGATCGCCCCGTTATAGAAAATATTTAATGTTATAAGATTTTTATAGTAAAAAATCGTACCTTAATTCAGTTCGTTATATAATGAAGGCCGCTATAGAAAAAGCTGTTTTTTCAGAGAGGGTGAACTATAATTACATCTCTCATTTGTTACACGTACATGGTATTTTTCTTCAACCAAGTGAGAAGGAGAAGGTAAAATTTTTGTAATAAATAAAATCAAACTAATCAAATTTCGTCAATTAAATATTTATTATCTACTTAGTTATCGAAACATTTATGATT